AGAGGTACACTACACAGATTTTTACTCCCTCAGAAGTGGAATAAAGTAAAGGAACAAAGAATTGAGTCTGCTTCATCTGCTTCTCTTTAAATTAAAACCCTTCATTAAAGGATTCCAAAATAGTTTTTTTTCTTTAACATTGGGCATTTTAGGGAGGTTTGACAGTCAATAAAACATATTAATGTCTTCTACTTTTGGTAGATCGAAGTTGAACTTAATGAATATACCACATGTGGAGGTATCCATAATCACCCTCCCCACATGCCCAGCCATTAATATCTTCTCTGTGAAATGTTTGTGACTGTAATTGCTGCTCTGATTATATATTGTGTGAACTTCAAGTACGTTATTATATCGGGTGACTAATGGAATTTGGTGACAATGCACAGAAATTGGTATTCTGGAAAAGAGTTGGTTTTTAAACTGTATTCTTTCCTGAGTTTGCAGTGCATTTCATGGCTCATCTACCTCACAGTGGGTTCATGGCTGATGGATTGAAATCTTTCTGCTGAATAGTAAACATCAGAGATAATTTGGTCTTCCCTTAGCATTTCTCATCACTCATTCAAAATATCAAAAATAAGTACTTGATTACTGTTAATTCACTTTCATCTGTACTGACAAAGGGAGAAGGTACATCTGTCAACACTTTAGTGGATATATGGGGATGGGGGGGTCCTAGGAGTGTGGTCTCCAAGCTCTGTAGGGGGCCACTGTATGCCTTGGAAATAAAGCGGATCTACTAGTCCATCCTTCCTTTACTGGCCAAGGTAGGGCACCCCAATCCTCTTTTCATTGTTGGATGGGCTTAGAGGTGAAAGAGAACCAATTTCCTTCTTTTGCTTTTCTAAAGATATCTTTAATGTTATTAAGTATAAAGCAAAGGTTATATAGCATAGCATTTTCAGCAAACATAGAACAATTTCAGTGATTGCTTGAATTTTTGAACAGAGACATTTGCTTTTATAGGGTGAAATTTAATGCTAAGAACCCTTATTAGAGTAGGTGTTGATGCCATTTGTCATTCAGTAGTTTTTCTTCAATTAAATTGAAGCCTAGATTCACCACGAGGCACACTTTTGCACTCAGGAGGTAAAATATTTTTATTTCACACTTCTCTGTATAAAGAAATGACAGATGTCGATTCTTCATACAACATATTATAACATATAAGTAATGTATAATTTTATCAATCATGTTCACCTAAAAAGCCTTATAATAACAACCCCATGAATGAGTATATATCAGTGCTTTGACAAGCACTGGTGTGGTCTATGGACCAACAGCATCCACATCACCTGAGAACTTATTAGAGATGCAGATTCTCAGGTCTATCCCAGTCCAGCTGATCCAGAAACTGATGGATGGCACCCAGCCAGTCTGTTTTAACAAGTTTTCCAGATGACTGTCATGCAAGCTAAGCTTTGAGAGCCATGGGTATAGAAAGTGTTATCATACTCATTCTATAGATGATATAGTTGATGCTTGATGTGTCCCATGATTGGTTGGATACATGACCAGTTAATTTTAGGGCCCTTCCTCAAACTCAAGTTTTCTACTAAACATCATGTGACCTTCCTCTCTTAATGAGTAAAAGATAATGAATTCCATAAAGCTGGAAATCAGTATCTCTTAAATGAACCGAGAAAGGGACCATTTCACTGCTTTCTAATAATGAGAGTAAATTGTTAAAACTATTAACTGGAGAAAATTAACCTAGAAAAAGTTTTAATGACATAAGCAACATATTGTGGTCCTGTGCATTGGGTTCCTCATTTTCTTTTTAGTGGAAGCGAGAATAGAATGTAGTTAAACCCCAGGGGGGTAGCTGTTGCGTGTTAATAGAAGTGGGAGACACTATTTTAATCATCACTTTCTACTTGAATGAGTCCATTGGACAGCTTTTCCACCTGGGTCTTTCCCATGCCACATTACCCACGTTGATAGTGCCCTGCGGTGGTTTTCCTACACACACAATTTTACACACAGGCGAGAGAAATTTCTTAGACGCTGTGGTATCGGAATGAATCCCTAGGGCAGCTAGCGTTAAGTACCCCTCTGTGACTTGGGGAATGAACGTTTCTTCTTGAGCTGAGAGTAGAAAACAGTGTTCATTATCTGTAATATAAAAGTCTATATAATGACTCCTGCTAAGATCTAGTTCTTTGTGAAGTCACTTTGGGTTTTGTGTGTATAAACAAGTAGAGTTTAAGGCTTTGTTTGCTCAACTGGAAGGAATTTCCTTCGATAGAAAACAATGATATAAGATGAGGTAAATGTGTTATGTATATGTGTATGATTTTATTCTGCATATATGGAAAACATCATGTAACATATATGGAAAAGTGTGACAAACAAAAATGTCAGTGTTTTATGGCTAATTTTAAAGAGGACACACATGTAATAACTACAAGTCCCAAGCGTTTGTGATAACTGTCCACGCATCCCTGCTGTGTATCTCCCATGGCTTGTAGTTTTCTGCACACAATTCCTGCCTCTGTACATTTGCACCTACTGTTTCCTCTTCCTCTAACCCTCCTTCCCGACCAGAACACAGAATTATAAGGCTGGCAAACTGTTTCTCGCCCTCGTGTATTAGCTGAAAAGATGCCATAGTCCTTTGTAGCCCATGTCTCAGTGTACTTTGAAATGTTTCCTTTAAAGTATAATAAGTGGTTTTGTGCATGAGCTGCTCAAAACAGCTGTTTTCTGCATTGTTGGTGTCGTTCCTCAGTACCAAACCGGTACCTGCCACATAGCAGCATTTGATAAATAATGCACCATTGAACTAATGACTGGCATTTCTACTTGGATGAACCCCTCAAACCAAATCTCCAAAATGCATTATCATTTTGCCCAAACTTCCAAGTCCCAATGGGGAATATGGAAACCCTAGGGCTGTTTATGACTCCTCTCTTCCCTGTAGACAATTCTACCTCCATATTACGGCTTTCATCTTTCTTCCAGTTACCTCTACCTTCATTTGATCTCCTGTCTCTCAAATGTCCACTTGGTTCTGGTCTTCCGGTTGAAGCTTCTTCAAGCTTAGGGCTCTTCCTGCTTCTCTCCTTCCAGCACGGGTTTTGGTTGTCTTGCTGTGGAGATAACAGACCCAGACCAGCTGTTCCATCGCCTCAAGTCTGAGGACTTCCTTATGCATTTGCCTAAGTGAATCATTGAGTCTAGCATTGATACCATTCTTTTCTAACACTGATAAGGTGACCTTCACTATTGCGAAGGGTACAGCCTTAGGGGAATTGTAGTACCAGATCTTCTATCCTGCAAGATCTTTGCTGGGTTGCTCTCCTCACACCCCAGGGTTTGGGAGGATTTCCAACAGTCACACCTGGCAAGGAATGGGTTAAGGGATCCACTAAAATGGGAACAAGCAAACTTATAAGTCCAGGGTGAGCAAAAGAAAAGAAGGCCCTGTTTCTTGTTCACAAGAACAAGCTGTGAAGCTTGGGCTTCACATATAAGTGCGCTGGAGCCACGTGTTCTGTTGGACCTGCTGTGTGGTCTTTCATGCCAGTGGACAGACTCCACCCCCACCCCTGTGACTGCAATCATGAAATCAACCTCAAGTGCAGGAAAATAATCAGACCCTTTTACACGGAACATTTGGAACTGGTGGCGGCTATTTGAAGGAATTGTCTGGGAACCCCAACTACAAGTACTTGGGGATATTAGGGCCCATAAGAAATTACACCCACTCGTGTTTAGAGGTTCTGAGCAGCAGAATGATGCTGCAGTGCCTCCTGTAAGAAGAAGGGAATTAGAGGCCTGCGTCCAGCTGTCTCATTGTCAGCATGAGTCAGATGCATGACTGTTCATTGCAATACCGCTCCATCTCACCAGCGTAGAGTCTCCTGTTAACTTGGCGATGTGTATTGTCACAACACTCATGGCTCAGTGTCCTTAGCTGGACTCTCAGGGTTTCCATCCTTTTGCCCATATCCCTTTCTGGTATCATCTTCCATGACTTTTCTTCATACGTTCTAGGCCCCAGTAATGGAACACTGAATGTTGCCTGTGAAAATCCCCTCCCACGCTGCCATTACATTTTCCCTGTGCTGTTCCTTCTTCCCGGGTGCCTCTCTATCCCCTTCTGCCTCCCTACCCTTCTCCCCTGCAGTGTTCTCCATCTCTAAGCATTTCTAAGCATCCATACCTCAAGGTTCTGTCCAAACCTCTGGTCCTTTCTTGTCTAGATATTTTCCAGTGTTATGCCTTCCAACTCCTTTTATCCATGCTCAGTGACTCCTTCATGGACTTTTTTTGAGCCCTGGGGGAAAAACTTTCTTTTCTCTGTTGACTCCCATAGCAGTTAACTTTATAGTTGGCATTAACACATCCTCCCTTGTCTTATGCATATACATTTCTTTACTCCCTTGTTTGACAACAAGTCCATCCAGAGGAGCTATCACATTTTATGTATCTTGTATCCTAGAGTAACTTGCATATTATGGGTGTTCAGTAATATATAATGGATAAATGAAAAGATTGAGGCATAAGATATGAGTGCTAAAGGCTGGAGAGGGGGCAGGTAGGTGAGGCAGATTCATCTCTTTCCCTTGGCAAGGTGAACTGATGGGAACATCTCTTTCCACCACCCCCTATCCCCATCTCCCATGCCACTCACATGTCCTCACACTCAGACTGACTCTCAGGATTATTTTTTGACCACGGGGCAGGAAGGCATGGTTCATGATGATTTAGGGACAGCTCATAGTATAGACCGGGGACCCTGACCATGCCCATTATACTTTCAAAATGTCTCAGCATATATATTAAATTGAGCAGTTAATGGTTAGCTATCTTGTTGTTTCCACTCCAATTTGATTGATAAAGAATGTGAAAGAAAAAATATCCTAACTGCAGAGAAATCTTCAGGCAGGTCTCAAGATAACATGATTTTTTTTTAAAGAGATGACAGTTATATAAAATAATGAAAGGAGATCTGTGGGGATGCTTAACAATTTCACATTTTTGCCTTCCAGGAGACGGAGCTGTTAGATCTCAGCCTTGTCAAGGATGCCAGATGTGGGAAACATGCCAAAGCTCCCAAGGTAAGAAGTGGAGTGTTGTGCACCCACCAGATGCTGCTTTGAGGATTTGGCCGTGTCATGGTATCAATTAATTGCCCCAGTTAAAAGTTTCTCTGTTGTAGATGTTGTAAAACACAATAAAACAGCCAGTCCTTCCAGAAGCCTGTATGCCCTAAACATTTCCACTTTTGTTCAAAGCAGGCAACAGTGAGTAAAAATATAGGCAGTTGGACACGGGGTCTTGCTTTCTGTCCTCTAATTTTCGTGTTGCTTGAAAAATATATAATGAGGCCAAAGTTTCTGGGTAATTCTAAATAGTTAAAATGTTCTTGAAGTTACTTGGAAACTTCCTGGAGCCTCATATGCATACATGAACTAACTCTTAGACATGATGAATAAGACTGTAATTCAAATACTTTATAAGTAATATCACTTCATCCAAAAAGCCAAAGGGTGTGAAGTCCTTCTATAAATGTTACTAGTGAAGACCCGGGGAAGTTTGGGATCAGTTGTGTGGCCTGTCAATTTGTTTTTGTTTGAAAACCTTACTGAAGAAATACTCAAAGCAGCGTTTGTGATTTTATTTCCTTTTTTTTTTTTTTTGAAGATTATTTAACAAATGTTGAATAAAGAATATACAAATTTTTTTAAACTTAGATTCTGGTTGAGTATACTAACAAACTGCATTGACTTGCCTGTACAGTGGGAAACTACTCTTTATTGTATTCAAATTTTAGTACGTTAAATACTTCCTTTCTAGCAAAGATAATATTGTCAAATAGGGAAGTACAGGTGCCATTCAGGAACTCTTACCTCTTACCATAATTGATATAAAACTAGCGATTTTCTATTTGAGTATCTGCCTGCAACTTTTGTTTTATTCTTTAAAAGTCAAAATACTTTCTTTGACATCAAAAATTATCTGTTGCTGTGGAGAAACAGAAAGAAAAAAAAATCACCTGGAAGGATCATTCTTCAGATACATAACAGTGCAATATTTGCTGGCAAATTCTGCCATGGAATGAACACCCAAATACTGGTTTTACTGCTGTAGGAGTTAAGCTGATCTATAGGAAAACGTGAAAAATGAAGACAGAAAAATCTGAATTATTTTCAAGAAGGTTTCTAAATGTGTTTTCATGTGCAAATAGTCTATTAGTTGTGTTGCTCTCTTCATAATATAATCAAATTTTAGTAGTTTGGTCTTTTAATTTTGTAGCAAGCTTATCATTATTAATGCTTCCTTGATGATTCAGAATTGTTTAATGTTTAGTGTAGGAAAGAAGTTCTTTCTTCTTCTTTCCCCCAAAACATTCCAGCCATGTTTCAGGTAAGCCTGTTAGTTCCAAGAACTGCATTGATAGCAGAGTTATAAAGTTTGCCTTTAAATGCAAGTTCATTGGCCTAACTTGAAATTTGATGATCAATATTGATGATAAAGACTACCGCTGCCTACACTCCCGTAGAGCCCCCTTTGTCTGCAGGCATCAGAGGTGGAGTTGGCATCTCTGCCACCTGGAGTTTCTTTCTGGCTTCCCTCTCTCTCTTTTATTGTAGCATTCAGCCTGCTGATCAGTTCAGTGTTTCATTTATGGACGCGGTTGGATACGTGTCTATTGAATGAGGATAAATGAATAGAACTAGGGTCTGTGCTATGCTCAGCTGATAAACCACTATTAGATCCTAAAATATTTCTCTTAAGGACAGACTTGGATACTTGGAATACTCTGACCTTTACTGTTTTGTTTTCTTTTGTTTTCTTTT